CACACACACACACACACACACACACACATATATGTATATTTAGAATAAGAATAACAGAGTTGGAAGGGACCTTGGAGGTCTTCTAGTCCAACCCCCTGCTTAGACAGGAAACCCTACACCACTTCAGACAAGCGGTTATCAAATCTCTTCTTTAAAACTTCCAGTGTCAGAGAACTTCTGGAGGCAAGTTGTTCCACTGATTAATTGTTCTAACTGTCAGGAAATTTCCCCTTAGTTCTAGATTTGTCTCTCTCCTTGATTAGTTTCTAACCATTGCTTCTTGTCTTACCCTTAGGTGCTTTGGAGAATAGTTTGACTGCCTCTTCTTTGTCTCAGCCCCTGAGATATTGGAACACTGCTATCATGTCATCCTTAGTCCTTTACATCAGACTAGACATAACCAGTTCCAGCAAATGTTCTTTACATGTTTTAGCCTCCAGTCCCCTAATCATTTTTGTTGCTCTTCTCTGCACTCTTTCTAGAGTCTCAACATCTTTTTTACATCATGGGACCAAAATTGGATGCACACACAAATATAAATGTTTCACTAGCTGAGGCATAGTATTTACTTAAAGAGAGCTCCTTTAGGCAATTTATATTTACAATAAACTAGCAAATGTGACCACATCCAGAGCTTACCAAATTATGGTTTGTGAAATATTGTGTGCTAATTTGAGGCATAAAAATGTAGTTTGTATTTAAACTTGACATTCCAAACCAAGGAATGATTATCTTATTTATATCAGTGAGAAACCAGAATATTAAAGAAGAATGAAAAAAGAAAATAAACATGTTCCCAAGACATTTCTCCCTGTCTTCTTAATTTATGAAAACTGATCATGGTGTCAAATGTGTTTTTATATAATGATAGCAAACAATTATTAATGGTTTGGTGGGTTTCTGTGGAGAGAACACCATGATGGCCTGAAGTAATTTCCAAGTGGCAGTATATTTCAAATTCTTCATCCTACCAATTACAGCCTTCCTGCAGTTGAATGACATATGAATCATGAAAATAATTACTTAAAATTATTTGCACCCACATGTTGACAGTAATTATTATAATCTTGTCTTAATTCATTTTGTTAATCTCTAAGGCCAGGGTGCCTGTATTGAGTTTGTCCAGAGTGTAACCTAGGCAATTAAATATTGTTGATGCCTGGCTATTTTCCCCAAATTTTCACTTATTTATGTCTATGAAAATTACTCCTAGTTACATGGAGTTTTCTTTGTCTTAGACAGACAGATAGAACTGGCTGGAATTCCAGACAATTTTAAGCTCAGATTACCTCTAATTCAGCTATTACAACATCAAATGGTAGCTCAGTGGCTGTGGAAGGGCTCCTGAATCAAGATATACAGTATTTCAAACTAGGAGTGGACTTTACAAAGAAATGCAAGAATTTGCAAACGTGGATTAATAATATTTGTAATATTATATATTAAAATAGAGTATATATCTTTATATTCTAAATATAAATATACTAAAACTTTGTTCAGTTCATACATTTTCTCAAGATTTTACATGTGCTCTTGGGTTCCTGTGTATATATCTTAACCATTTAGAATTTCAGATCTCTAATATATTTTTTCTGTAAGAAAGAAGAGTAAAGAAGGTAGATATCAGTGCATCTAAGATAAGCTCCCATACAGCCTATCTTAGAAACTTTGAATGAAATAGCTCTAACATTAAAATCAATAGCTGAGAGCAAATGCTTTGATTAGATGGGTGCATATTGTTTTATATCATTACAGATAATAAACAAAATACCCTTTTGTAAGAAAAGAAGGATTTAGGTAGCTATAAGAGCCAATGTAAAATTAGTGTTTTTGCATAGTCGGTATTTCTGACAATCTGAAGTAAATGTGTAGATATTGTTCCATATTATATATTCAAATATATGCCCCTCCTTATATTTAATCCACCCTCTCCTTACAACTCTTCAAACTATCAAGAAAGAAGCTGAGCTGAACCCCTAAACTTTAAACATATCATCTTGATATCAAGTTAACCCAATAGTGTTACCTCTCGGATCATTAGCCACTGCTTTTGGCTAGTGACAAACTTGTGCAGCAAAAATTCAAAACCGAGCTATTTTTTGCAAGCAGCTCTGTTTTCTTACAAGAGGGAACTTGCATTTTTTGGGTTTTAAACCTATTGGCCAGATCTTCCCTTTTGAGCATTGCAGCAGCCATTGAAGAAGCTTGTATTTTTCATGAAGAGCACAAGCCAATCATATCCATTTGGTTATCTGAGCAGAGATCGGGGATCCTTTCTGTGTCACTTGGTAAAGGACTGCTGGAAATATGGACACCATCTCCTTCCTCTATATTGTGTATGTTGGTCCAGCAAGGAGGAGAGAATGTTTTGAAATGTGTTTGGCATTTATGAAAATCCTGCATTATTTAGTCAAGAATGAAATTGTTTTAGTCTGTTGCACAGAACATAATCAGAACACAGCTGTGGAAAAACCAGGAACAATTAGCCAGCAAGAATGGGGAGGAAACCTGTTTTCCTGGACTGCAGCTGATTTAAAAGACACAATTTTAGCCAATGTTTCCTAACCAACTGTGAGATAACGTACATCATTCTTAGATTATACAGCACCGGAAAAGCAATTTTTCTCTAGGTCTTGAAACTCAGCTGTGCTCGTTCTATTTATATGAAAACACTTTTACATTAGTTATAGACATCTATTTTAACATGGTTTCAGGATCCACATACAAGACTTGGTTCAAAAGAGATAGTTTGTTTTAAGTCCAAGTTCTCTAAACCCTTGAGAGCAAGGTGAACAGGTTATCTTGATAAAGCTGCCTGCGATGGGGCTGCAAACCTCATTTATGGAAATCTTCAGGGCAGGATAACGTTAAGCTGACAAGGAGCACTAGTGCTATTTAAGATACGTTGCAATCTCCTTTCTTATGTGCTAGTCAAATCAAAAATGTTGCAATCTCCTTTCTTAGTGCTAATCAAATCAAAAAGAAAAGGAGAATGTAGGAAAGTGAAACAGATGGATGTTTTAAAGAAGCAAAATAGAATTTAATTACAGATAATGTATTGCCAGTATTTTCAAAAGACTTCTGTCCTGTAACAAAGATGTCTTTTAAGTCCAGTCACAATGGGTCTCTGCCTTCAGTTTCCATGAAATAGACTAAGACAAATCTCTTGTTTGTGGTTGAGCAAAATGTAAAACTATGCTGGCAGCCTGTCCCCAAATACACTACCTTAAATGATAATAGGGCTTTGTTTGTGGCAAAACAAATAATTAATGTTTTCTGTGTTTTCCTTATGTGGCACAGCACTGTCTATCTTTTTTTTTTTAATTACAAATTTAAATTTTGGAACAGTTAACTCTGTCTCAGAGAAACAGAAGAAGCAGTAGTACTATAAAGCTTTTGCAGGTAGTCCTTGACTTATTACCACAATTGGGACCAGAATTTAGATTGCTAAATGATACAGACATAAATGATTACATCATTTAGCAACAGCTATTCTGGCATTCCCGATTGTAGTCATTATACAAAGGCAAGTAGCCATTAGCTGAGAAGCTGCCCCAATCTTGTCAAGCCAAGCCATTCCAGGCTTGGTTCCTTCCAGCCCTGAACCTCAGTAAAGTGAGAAACTGCCTCCACCTCTCTCCAGCCACCTAGCTGCTACCCATCTCTGCCTTTTTTGTCATCCTGCATTCTGCTTTACCGGGCAGCAAGCAGCACCAGAACCACATGGTTATGGGATTGCAAGAAGCCTCTGAGCCATCACATAGCATGAAACCATGGTCAACCTGCCTCAGCATTGCAGCTGAAGCAGGTTGACAAAGCTTCAACATCCAAGAAGCCCCAGCAAATGCCAGCAAACATGCATTCACCCAGTTGCCTTCTCTCCCAGTTCCGTTTGGTGGCATTTTGTCTTTTGTACCCAGCTGCTGAAACGGGCGCTTCTTGGTGGTTTTGTTCTCTCCTTTTTGGATTTGTGGTCTAGGTTCTCTGCTGACCACTTTCTACACGGGGCTCCCCAGCCTGCCCGAGCAGCACAGTGCCAGGCCGCAGACTGGGGAGGGCCTAGCAACTGCCAGCAAGCGTCAGCAAGCATTCGTTTGCCCAACTTCCATCTCTTCCAGTTCCCTACACTGACCTGTTATGGCTGAAGCAGAATCAATTTACAGCCTTTGTTTGTCTATCTTTCACTTCCTTTGCAGTCTCTTTTTCAAACCCATGACCACCATGTCACCCTGGACACTTCAGCTTTTCTGGTAAAGACGTGGTTTTCCAATTTGGCCTAGCAGCACAATACAAATATAAATGTCAGTTAGTGGGAAGGCTAGAAACTGTTTATCTAATGAAAAAATGCCAGGGGTTGGCTTGTGCTTCCTGCATGTGGTTCTCTGGGACAACCAGGGGTGGGATCCGACTGGTGTAACTACCGGTTCGGTGATTTACGATTTGCACATGTGTGTAAATCGTTGTCAGCTTGCTGCCTAGACTGCTAAGCAGCGCTGCATGTGGGTGCACAGCGCTCGAAAAACTCCTTTTTTACTGCGTTTTCAACTGCAGCTGTGCCACACAAAGCAGCTGAGGTTGAAAAACCAGGAAATAAAGGTCAGGTAAGTGCCCGGACGGGCAGGTGGGCCAAAACAGCAGCAGACATAGAACCGGTTCCATGTCTGCTGCTCTTCAGAGCTACCGGTTCTACAGAGCCAGACAGAACCGGTAGAATCCTACCCCTGGGGACAACCCTCAGAATTTTCCCATTGGGCCAAATCCTTGCTTTGGATTCCTGGGTGCTGTAGCTTGCTGGTAATGGTGGGGCTTCTTTTGTGCCATGTACGAGGATGAGTTCAGGAAGATGAGACTTCCAGAAGTAGCTTTATGCTGCACCAAGGCTTAAGAGTTTCTTGCAGTCACAGAACTGCGTGTGCCAAGAAGCCTCTGAGCTGCAGCATGGCAAGCAGCTGCAAAGCCATTACAGATATTATAAATATATATATAATTATGAAGTTATAAACAATTAATAACTATGCACTTATTATATTAATTCTTATAGCTTATTGGTCATTTTATTGATCATTTAATCAGTGATTACACAGAGTTTGGCTATGTTCTTTAAATCACTTCAAAATAGAAGTGTCTTGACTGTTAGTTGGGTTGAGAATCTCTATGGTTATGTTTTGATTGAAATTCAAATTATTTGCAGTGACTATTCAATAAATTGTATAATACTAGATATGTTGGTGTGAAAGGAATACATAAGTCTAAATAGTAAAACAAGAAAAGGGAATTTGATATTGTTATTGTTTTGTCATCTCAGTAATGAATGAGATAGCCACCATTTGGGGGGGAAATTACAACTTCGTCTGGAGAAAATTAGACAGGAAATGATATGTAGAGGAAATAAAGAATGAGAAAATTATATTGCAAGGAATCAAAATTACATTCATTCAGTATTGGATATCACCCATATATTATAATAGTTACTTGTATTAATATTATCTGATAAAATATATTGTTTTCAAGAATTCAAGCATTCATTCAAGTTTAAGAGCATTTTAAAAACATGGTTGTGAAACAATGCAACTTTGTTAGCTTTATCTTGTTTTGAATGTTTCTAAATTTATTCAGTGCAATGCTTGATCTCTTCTTTAGGTAAATGCGTCTCGACAAGAATCCAAGCTGATGGAAGAATGTGACCTGCTTATAGAAATAATCCAGCAAAGACGTCAGATAATTGGAACCAAAATCAAGGAGGGAAAAGTAAGAATATTATCTTTGAGATTCTGAAATAGATTAAAATTCTTACTAAATGGTTTATGCTCTACAAAATTTCTAATTTCTTACTTAAAATGCACATCTTGAAATCCCCTTGACAGTTGCTTCATTTATTTTCCTGTTGTCTGAATTTATTAAATAAACATTTCAGTCTTCATTTAAAATCTGTTGAATGCCTGTTGAAAGATACCATCTTATGTTATTTTATCTTTCTATTATAAGACACTTTATATAAATAATAACTGTACAAATGATATTTGCAAGGGAAATTCTGCTCTATTCACCAGAATAGTTTTATAATAATATTCTAAAATATTTATGCTTTAATTGTTTGAAAAATTTCTTAGGGCAAAAATTGTCTATAAAATAAGAATTCATAACTTATAACCATCTACATAGGTGTTATAAATAAGTACTATATATAAGTACTATAATCATCTATTAAAGACACTTACACAAATTAACTTTCTTAGTTTGCTCTGTAAGAAAGCAAGTTCATGAAGCATCTTGAAGGAAGTTGAGACCATTAGTGTTTTACAGAAGTAAAAATTTAATGAAATATTTATTGTAATGTTTATTGAAATATTTATTGAAATATTTATTGTAACTTTTTACAGAAGTAAAAATTTAATGAAATATTTATTGTAATGTAGAAGAAGCTCAAATTAAATAATTGTTAATGCTATGTCTTCAGTTCTCCCTCTGGTCCGATCCAACAGGGGGTGCCCAGCCGCAACCTGATTGGTCACCAGTTTGACAGCTCGGTATAAAAGGAGTTGTCAAATGGGCCAACAGCTGTTGCCTCATGGCTGAGCTGAATTAGCGTTGTAAGCGTGCGAAGCTTAAATAAAGCTTGAGCAACCAAGCAAGCCGCCTTGCCTCAGTTTGTGAGTGTGTTTGCTTCCAAGAACAAAACATTGGCGACGAAGGTGGGAATGGGAAACTCCTAGAGGCCCCTGGCCCCATCTGCATATTGATTTTGCTGGGCCCTTTCAGGGTCAAACCTTTTTAATTGTGATAGATGCCTTCTCCAAATGGGTGGAAATATTACTCATGGCCTCACCACGGCTGAGACCGTAAGCAGCATTGCATTACAAAAGATATTTGCCACCCATGGGCTACCAGACCTAATTGTTTCAGATAATGGTCCTCAATTTACGTCCAGGAGTTTTGAAGTATTCCTTATAGGGCTGGGGTTGCTCCTTGGTTGCTCCTTTCAATCCTTCTAGTAATGGCTTGGCAGAACGAGGGGTAAGGTCAGCAAAGGAGGCCCTGGCAAGAATGGGCCCAGGTCCATGGCCAGCAAAAATAGCCCAATACCTATTCTGTCAGCATACAACCCCATGCCCTTCCACCAACTGCAGCCCTGCCGAACTAGTAATGGGCCAATGGCTGAGAACAGTCCTAGACAGGCTGTTCACTTACATGCCTGAGAAGCCTCTGGATTCATCCAGCAATCCTAGGGGGTTTAAGGAAGGGGACCCAGTTTATGCTAGGAATTTCTCAGGCAACCCCCTGTGGCTACCAGCCACCCTTACAAAGGTAACAGGGCCTTGTTCGTATATATCAAGCTGGAGGATGGCCAGGCATGGAGACTCCATATTAATCAGTTAAGGGGGCGAGGGAGTTATAGGTCCGAGGTCCCTGTCCCAAGGGAAGACGAGAATCCCTCGCTAGCTGAAGCTGGGCCTACCGCACCAGTAACACGCCACCAGACAAACCTACCAGAGTCTCCAGCAGTGCCACCAGTCAAGCTGATCCCAGCAGAGATCCCGGTGCTGACTCCTGAAGCTCCAGCATCAACGACTCCGGCACCAGCAACTCCAGCCGCTTCCAGAGAGCCAGCGCTGGGCAGATCAGCAAGGTTCCGCTGCCGCCCAACCTACCTCACGGAATACGCATGCGCCATCGAGATGGGAAGGAGTGCTATATCTTCAGTTCTCCCTCTGGTCCGATCCAGCAGGTGGCACCCAGCCACAACCTGATTGGTCACCAGTTTGACAGCTCGGTATAAAAGGAGCTGTCAAATGGGCCAACAGCTTTTGCCTCAGGGCTGAGATGAATGAGTATTGTTAGCACATGAAGCTTAAATAAAGCCTGAGCAACCAAGCAAGCCGCCTTGCCTCAGTTTGTGAGTATGTTTGTTTCCGAGAACAAAACAGTTAATAACTATACTACACATATTTCTGATGTAAATCTCTGTGCAAGGTAAATCTCAGATACTACTCAAGCTTGGTTACCTAGCTAACTTTGAAATCAGTTTCAACATGATCCTTGCTTTGTTTCTGTGCTTGTTTGTGTATGTATGTGTGTGTAAGGGCGGGAGGGGGGAGAACATATGCAAGCTACTTACTGTAGTCCTTTACTGCTAAAGTAACTTGAAGAAATCAACAAACTCTCCCTGTGTGAAAAAAGCTTTGACAAGAAATAACATTAGATGCAGGTTAAGTGGGCAGGTTAAATGGTTCACTTAGCTGTCAAGATACTCCAAATAATTTAAAATAGAAAGCCCTGCAGGCAAGGGCTGTTTCAAGGACCATGGTTCTCTAGGTTATTGTTTGACAAGTCCTGAACTTCTTTACATATTAACAAGATTCAGTTCCCTCCAGAATTCCACCTGACAACCTTCTGTATAATCTCCTTGGTTACTTAACTGTAGAGCGAATGCATATTCTACCACCAAAGTTCATACACTTTTTACAGAATCAGAAATGCTGTTCCATTCCAAACTTTATGTTTACATTAAAGGAAAGCATGAGATTTTTTTATTATTATTAACAGATGTGCTCATTACTGTACTTCATGCTTTTTGGAAGGGGGAAGGGAATAGTTTAACAAACCCGATACATTCATTCCCAAACTAGGTATGCACACCAGTGAGTGGTCATGACAGCCATTTCCAAATAAAGACAGTGTGTCTTGCATTGTTCCAGCAAATTAAGCAGGTGTTTCTACCAGCTGCTTTAGCAGTATTAGTATGTAGTTAAGCAGTGAACATTATATATTTTGGAATTAACATTTCATACAAGTTGTCCACTTTCTCAGCCTAATGTCAGTAAAAGGCACTACAGTGTCTGTAAGTGTATTCGAAATAAAGGCCTAGTATCCACATGCTAGATTTATAGGACTGTTTTTCCAAAGTATCAAGCCTTACCAAGTTGCAGGTAATTTCAGGAGTTCTTTTGTTTCTTTAGTGAGGAATGTCAAAGATTCAAATCCACATGATTCAGAAAATAGGAACGGGTGAGTCAGGAGATCTTGTTTTTGTTAGCAATATAGGATGCTTGAGTTGAAAATAAATACACGTAGTTCTCAACTTATAATCATTTCTTTAGCGACAATTTAAAGTTTAATGGCATGGAAAAAGGTGATTTACAGCCAGTCTTTACCCTTAAAGCCTCTGCAGCATCCACATGGTCATGTGATCCAAATTTAGGCCTGCAACTGCATGTATTTTTGATGGTTGTAGCACCTTGGAGCCATATGATTGTCATTTGCAACCTTCCCAGCTGGCTTCCAACAAGCAAAATCAACAGGTTCAATGTCAAGTCAATCTGTTAAGTCAGATTCACTTAACAACCACATAGTTCACTTAACCACACAATTCACTTAACTGTTTAACAGTTGTAACAAAAAGGCCATAAAAGTAAGAATGGTTCACTTATCAACTGCCTTGCTTAGCATTGGAAATTCTGGTCCCAATTTCTGTTGTAAGTATGAGAATCGTTGCACTGGATTAAACACACAGGATTTATTTAATATGCCATTCTATTCCCAGAATCTCAATGGAAAGCTCCTAAGCAAGATACGAGAAAAAACGTTGTTTTTATTGTTGGGAGAATTGCAATCTTGAATGTAATGAAATGTAGGTTCTTGTCGGGTTACTAAAGGAGGCAAGCACTAGAAAAGATTGAGGTGGCCTTTATGTTCTGTTACTCTTCCATTTCAGATAGAATTCAATACTGTCTCAGTAGGTTCATCTGAAACATAGTTGCAGTGAAACAAATCTACCAATTCAATTGGATTGGCTGTTAAATAAATGTTTAGCATTGCAATGTACTGAATATTGAAAGTGAATTGGAATTAAAGCGTTCCATTTGTATCACACTGATTATGTACCCACTTTTGTTAATATACCAGGCTTGGCTGGGGGGGGGGGGAATCCCCCAGGAAAAGACATTTCCAAGAACAAAGATTTATTTTATTGTCAAATTATTCCTTTTGTTCTGAGGTCAAGAATTAAAGCACCTTGGAAATCACAGTAGAGCATCCAAGAAACAGAGCCTGATGGCAATTGAGATTTCTTATTATTAAAAAAAATGAAAGAAAACAAGCTGTGATTATTTTGGATTACCCCACTCTGGATAATATTAAAAACTTCCTTAGAACTTAGGCTCCTATTGAAATAGAAGAGGAAAGCAGTTGAGCTGTTTCCTTTAGTACTCAATTTGAGTTATAGCTATGGTCTTGAGCTATAGTCAAATATTAATGCCCATTTTTGTGTCCACAAAAGTAACAATTTTCTTCTTTGCTCCAGGTTGGGAGACTGAGAAAACTGGCCCAGCAGATAGCTAATTGCAAGCAGTGTATTGAACGCTCCACCTCTCTCATCTCACAGGCTGAGCAATCTTTGAAGGAGAACGATCATGCACGCTTCTTGCAGTCGGCTAAAAATATAACTGAAAGGTAATGCCATAAATTGAAGAGTTCTGAGAATTAGATAACCTTGCTAACTAACCATTTTCTTTATAATATGTCAATCGGATGTTTAAAGGAGAAATCAAATCTTTGGGATGCTCAAAAAAACCCACACATCTAAAGAAGTATATAATGTAGATATAAAACATCAACATATCCAACAACTGGTATACAGAAGCAAAATGTTAAAGACAGATTAAGAAACATCATTCTAGAAAAATGTTAGAATACTTCCATATAATTGCATATTATGGCGGTGCTATGGCTCAGAAGTTAAGATCCGGGAATTGTCAGCTGGAAAGGTTTCAGACCCAAGTTCCACGCAATGGGGTGAACTCCTATCCTCACCCTAGCTTCTGCCAACCTAGCAGTTCAAAAGCATGCAAATGCAAGTAGATAAATAGGTACCACTTTGGTGGGAAAGTAGCAGCACTCCGTATCGGCATGCTGGCCACAGGACCACAGAAAATGTCTTTGGACAGCTCAATGGCCTTGAAATGGAGATGAACATCACCATATAGTTGGCAACAACTAGTGGAGTAAAATCCACAGGGACTCATTTACCTTTTCTTGCAGTCTTCCATATTTTTATGCTATTAAAACTCTTCCTGTGTTTATATATTTGTTTGTACCCTCAAATGGCATTCCAAATGGTGCATTATACAATGATTTTTGAATTGCTAATTGCTAACCTGAAGAATGTGTAAAAATCCAGGGTTCGTTAGTCCTGTGGAATTGAAATTTTCAATGTTCAGGCCAGTTTTATTTGCAAAATTGTGGCAGTTGCAACATCCCTGCAATCATGTGATCATGATTTCTGATACTCCCTGCCAGCTGTCCACAAGCCCAGCCAGTGGGAAGGCCAGCAGAAAGTTGGAAATCAAGTCCATTCTCACTGGTTTTTGCCTGCCTGTGATCTTTTCTGTTTATCTGCTTAAGTAACAAAATATTGACTCATTATTGAAGTTAGTTCAATAACTAATTAAAATGAACTCAGTTGTAATGAAGTTCAGTCTTGAGATTTCAGATTTTAGATGACAATTCTTTTTCTTGGGAGCATTTGAAGCTTTTTACCATTTCATGAATGGCAAATTAGCAAAAAAATACTGAAATGTATACCAGTCACTTTTAGGAGAAAATACAGTAAAGTAACATTGTTCATGGATTCCATTATAAAGATCAGAAATTCAATTCCCAGCAGCTACAAGCAAGCAGGCAGTACCTCATGGTATTAGGTAACTTTCTACATTCTAGTTGACATATGGCTGATCAGGGATATGAAAATTACCTTAAATACATGTTACACAGCACTTCTTAACTTATTTTAAAAGTATTTGCCTTATGTATCCTTATCATGTAAAATAATTTTCAGAACTAAACCCACTTGTTTTTTATCTTGTAGGGTTGCCATGGCAACTGCATCTTCCCAGGTTTTAATTCCTGAAATTAATCTTAATGACACTTTTGATACATTTGCACTGGACTTTACCAGAGAAAAGAAACTGCTTGAATGCCTTGATTATCTTACTGGTAAGAATCAAAATATATATAAGAACCTGTATACTTGTTTTAACATAGAGAAGAATGAATGTGGTAATATTCATTGGATTAAAAAGAGGTTATTGTGATTTAGGTAAATAGCATTTTAATGAACGATCTTGCAATACTTTTACTGTTTTTTGCAAATGTGTAGATGGGGGTACAACCACACAATCCTTCCCAGTTCCAGATGTGTATATAATAATAATATCAGTTTAGCTATGTTCATACAACAAAGAGATGCTTAGACAATGTTCTGATTTAATAGGATTTATAAGGATCAGTCAGTGATTGCAACATATTCTGCAGAGTGTTTTTGACCTCATGATGAAATAGTTCTAAAATCTAGTGTCTCATTGTTCAGCCAGCATTAACTAACATTGCAGTATTTTCTCACACTCCAAAATAAGTTTGTTTTATTACAAATTCAAGCTGAAGGCATTCAACATAAGTATTCTCCTCAAACTGTTACCATGTCAGAATCCCATAGGTAAAAGTAATATCAGTCTTGGGATGGGTTCTGAAGAAGATACAGAAGCAGGATTTGGGAAGTATACTAAAGTAGTGTGGTTCAATGACATATGAGCAACAAGATCCATTCTGCATGAAAATTCCATACTATAAACAATTGTGTCTCTGGGTTATTGAATTATATAAAGGATCTTCTTGGTAATATTCTTGCAATTCTTGCAATTTTATACAATGATATCCAATATGTTTTTTCTTGTTTTCATATTTTTGTGATAAATGGGTAAATGAATGTCTGAGAACTATAACAGCTCATTTAACCCTTTTTCAGCTCCAAACCCACCAACAATTAGAGAAGAGCTTTGCACAGCTTCTTATGACACAATCACAGTTCACTGGACTTCAGATGATGAATTCAGTGTGGTCTCCTATGAACTGCAGTATACTATCTTCACTGGACAAGCTAATGTAGTTAGTAAGTACAAAGCATTTTAAACTAAGGCCATAAAAATGAAGCATTGAATTTAAATTTAAATCTAAGAGATTTATGTGGAGCTTTCAGAATTTTCACAAACAGTGATTTAATGGAAGCCAACTCAGAGGTATAATGCTTTAACAAGATAAAATTATAATTAAACAGCCTTTAACATTATAATTGATATACAAATATATTATAATAGATATTTTGCAAGGGACATGGCATGAGTTGATTACAACTGGTGTTATGCTAATTTGATTTTTAAAAAGTGAAAAATTGCCCTACTTCCCCTATTTCACCACAAGGAATACATAAAGGAATCCCAAACTTCTGAAGGCCAACAACTTTTCATTATAGACATACTGCTGCAAGAAATTGATATATCACATTACAGTTCATACAAAAAGGAGAAAGAGGAAGCAAAAGCAAGAGAACAGACTTGTAGAGAACCATTTTCATTACATTTGTGAAGCAATTGTGTCTCCAAAGGGAATGTTTCATAGCTACTTACTCACTTTTACTTTGCAAACATCATAAAACCTGGTTCAGTTCTTCATTTTTCTTAACTTAAACAGGCAGCAGAATAATTGGCTTTTCTGGAACATATTGAAAAAGACAATATCATAAATTGAAACTTTTGAAAAGTAAGCTGAAGTATTTAGTTGCTATACATTGCTGTCAATGTATACAGGATTGTGAAAATATTTCTATCAGTGTATTAATGATATAACAGATACATTTAGCAACAGGAATCCTTTGGTGGAAGTTTATTCAGTTTCGTCTTTTCTTCATAATAAATGTCTTTCCATGAAGTCTTGTTTATTTTGACATGAATCAATTTAAACTTGTTACTCAACAACTGAATACCATTATCCAGTCATCCTAGAAAGTTACACATTCCATATTCTAAACAGTTTAATGTTGTTTTCCACCATGTTCTTTAGTTGTGAGAGAATGTTACTTAATTTTGAAGATTAAACTTTATTTTTGATTTTGATCTTCACTCATTTAGATTAATATATCTTATGTAACCTTACTTTAATGACTTTTGAGGCATTGAAATAGTTAATACTATGTATACACCTTGATCTCCTGCTAGAAAAGGTGGATTACAAATGAAATAAATGAATGCACTGGGACTGTTGTCTTTTTATTTACTTGTGATATTTTTGTAGGTTGCTTTACTCACTTGGTTGTGTTTTTTTACATTTATTTGTATAAGATAAGGTCATATATTGTTTTTATTTTATTATCAGACATCTTACTTTCTTATTGTAAAGGTAGCTGATATATTTTATTTTTACTGAATATTTAAACTATATAAACATGCATTTTGTCTTCGTTTAGATTGGGTAGATTTTTTTACAGTAAATAAAAATAATGAGGCAATGAGAGAAATCTGATTCAAATTCTTGTTTAATATCAATTTTTTAAAGTGATACTTCATAGATTTTATTTAAAATGGTGCATGTCTGCCTCCTGATGTAGATATTGTCACTTTTGTTCTTCCAAATAGAAATGGGATTAAGAGATGCAACAACTTTGTTCTTGCACCTCTTAATTCCACAATGTATATCTTGAATGTGTGTGTATGTATGTATGTGTTATGATAAGAGTTATTAGAACTGTTGACTAGAGAAATTTATTTTAATTTAGTTTAGTTTAGTTTTTTAGTATTCATTTCTTGTTCAGTTTGTGAGCTTTATATTATCTTTACAAATGATATTTTTAAAAATCTGTGTATTAAAAGGAGTGTCTACTACTCAATAGTGTCTTAATGCTGAAATATATGTTCTTTGTAAATTAAGAATACTCATGTTTGAGAAATGATCAGACTGGCTCTTCACTTATTAACCAAGTGCATTCTGTTGAAACATTATAAATTGGATTCTAGATCCAGAATCTAGTTTAATTAATATTTAACCTAAATCAACTATTCCAACCTGATAGGAGGATTTCTGATTAGTGAAATTAAGGTTTAGCTTTCAAGGAATTCTTAGGTCTGCAATAGCAGCAACCATGCTTCGTCTTGATGTTATCCCCTTGCTGGCATTTCTGGAGGTAGCTTAACCTCCTACCTGTGAATAGGCAAATTCCATGTTTATAGGAAAAACAGAATTAGTATTCAGTTGCTAAGCAGAAATCTATTCCAAGATTAACCCCATGTATCCGTCTTTCACATTGCTTAAAATTTAACTATGTTTTAAAAATATGATTTTTAAATAATTTTTATTCACCTTGGTTTGGTTTAGATTAAGCATCAGGTTTTAACCTAACTTTCAATGTGTGGCCTGCTATATTTCAAATCAGTATATTTCAGAATATAAAACAAACACATTATATACTGATGGAAAAGTATTGCATTAACTTGGTCACCTCATATTCTTGTTGAATGGTTTAATAATGAAGACTAGTGATTAATTCCATATTAAATAATGATGAAAATGATGTTTTCTAATATTAAACATTGAAAATTGAATGTTTCCTGAATCTTCTAGATATCACTTAAGCTATATCATCTATATGAAAATATCCGATGAAAGTGGGCAAAAACAGGAACACCCAAGCTGATGATATAATTCTTGGAAACACATATTTTGTAGCAAGCCTGCTACAAAAGTTGAGAGTTTTAAACAGCAATTAGACAATAAAGTGAAAAGGCTATGAAAGAATTCAACTTTCTTAGATTAATCACTAGCAGGCAGGAAATGCTAATTGCTAGTAAACTGTGATTCACTCCATTTGACTCACTTTCTGTCTAGCATCATGCTGATGGAAAGCACACTGTGTGGTAAAGACAATACTTCAGCTGCAAAACTCTGAAGAGAGACTTTAAACAAAGCCTGTATTGTGGGAAAAAGAGCTGAGAATGTTATTCCAGTCTTAATGAAGTAAAGCTTCATAATGAATCAGCATGAAATATTTTGCCTTAATGGGCTGTGAGGGGGGCAAATATTTATTGTATGACGTGGTTGAGATAGGTTGGTCATTTTTCAGTATCATCTTATTATAGTGTGAAATGTACAAAGTATGGTGTGACAAGTAGCTTCTGTTGTGTATAGTGTGTGAACATTTGGTGTCAATTTCCTTTTCTTTTTTGGTCAGGCTATTTATTTATTTATTTAGGAGATTTATATTGCCGCCTATTCGCACATGGCGACTCAAGGCAGCTTACAAGAACTTAGTGATCTCTTGAAGTTTTGGACATAATTCCTAAATGACTGCGCAAATTATGCTTTAAAACACCTGGAGGATATAATGTTAGACACTTTTAAGTAGAATATTTTCATACTGAATTGTTTCGAGAATCAGACTAACCGGTTCTAATGATGCTTCATGTTCTGCTGTTTTCTATTATAGCTTAGATAAATAAAAATAACATTTTAATGAACTAATTATGATTAATTGTGTTTATATCTGGCTTGTCCATCCAGACAATACTGAGTAGCTATATAGCATGTGTATATGTAAAAAAAGAACAATCAGTGCGGTATATTTTATATAGTTTTAAATACAGGTAGTTCTCGACTTACAACAGCTCATTTAGTGACTGTTCAAAGTTACAATGGCATTAAAAAGTGACTTATGACGGTTGCTTTGTCCTGGGATCATGTGATCAGCTTTTGAGATCTTCTGATAAGCAAAGTCAATGGGGAACCCAGATTCACTTAATAACCATGTTACAAAGTTAACAAATGCAATGATTCACTTAACAACCATCATAAAAATTCATAAAATGGAGCAAAACTCACTAAATAAATATCTCACTTAGCAACAGAAATTTTGGGCTCAATTGTGTCTACCTGTACAGGACTACCTGTATAGTTTTGTAAATTTTTATTTTTAATATCTGTGCACAATATTCTTTACTGTTTTGACATTTAGTATTTGGCATGGTATTAGGTAAGCAGAAGTTGAAAGTGAATATTTCATTTAAATTAACGACCATAATCATTGCAAAAGAAATTGAAAAGCTCATCAATGTCAGCCAATGCATTCATAGAGAAGTAATAGCTGTGACTTGATGTGCAATGACTATATATTTATTCTGCAGAAACAATGCTTTGGTTAACACCTGACAACATTTACAATTTAGACCTTTGAAGTGTCTTAGAATTTGCTTCTTACTTTTCCTACAAATTCTTATATTAGATCAATATTCATTATCCATAGGTTAATTAGTAACTAAAAATATTGCATTAATAAATAATGCATTAATTTTATCCATTGCTTCTTGTCCTGCCTTCATGTGCTTTGGAGAATATTTTGACCCCTATTCTTTGTGGCAATCCCTTAGATATTGGTACACTGCTATCATGTTACCCCTAGTCCTTTGTTTAATGTGTAATGACTTTGTGTAATGAACACAACTAGTAACATCCTTTGTCCCTTTCCTTTCCACTTATTATCCATATTATTTATGAACTTCCCTCTAAAAGTCTTCCAGTGGGGATTTCCCCCCTTGTTACGTCAATATCATATCTATGACAGAAAACAGATTTGGAAGGGACTCTGTTTAATTGGATGTATTGATTACTTGGATGTATTAGAAAATGTTTTTAGAAAAAGGTTTTTTTCTTTACTTTAAAAGGGTGATTGATTGATTCTTTATAGATAAACTAGCAGGGTACCCGTGCTTTACTATGAAACTATGTGATTGGGAAAGATTTTGGGGAGGGAAATAAGAAGGGGGGGAAATGTGCATCTGTCTACCAGCATCCATTGGTATTCATCTGGCTAGCGTCCTGTCAGTGTGTGAGAGAATTCAGGGTTGTTTGGAAAGTGAAACAGTATTTGCTGTGTGAGCAAAGAGACAGCAAGGAGCCTGGGCGTGGCTTAGCTCAACTGTTCTGTACTAAAGCTGCTTGGTGCTGTGAAACTAAGACTGAAAATGAAAGTCCTCTCCTCTGCTTGTGTTTTGCATTTGGAACAGATTTCTTTTCAGGTGAGGAGGGGAGGAGTAGAACTCCTTAGCATCAGATCGTGTTAATAATAATACATAAAATACAAATGCTCTGGTGGTCATTTTGAAAAATCCTTTCTTAGTGAGCACCTAGAAGCCAAGAGGAACATACATGCCAAATTTCAAGTTTGTAGGCTTGAGGTTCTGGAGATTTTGTGATGATGTGTGAGTGCTTTTTCGCTTTTATAGATATAGATTCAGATAATTCCCCCTCTGCAACTGTGTGCATAATGGCTCATCTGGCTATAAGAACCTGAAATACATTTAAGAAGACAAGATTTTACAATTGTCAAAAGTACTGAAATCTGGAATCTTGGTAGAAAACTTTCTAGTGTCTCTGAATTCATCTGGCAGTTGCATTTGAATTACTACTGTCTTCCTAATTAAGCACAGATTTGGAGCTCATTCAGTCGCAGTAATTTTCCTGTACTCATATTACCATTATGCTTACTTAATGCAAACACATCATATATGGCCAACCTATTACATATTTGTGCTAGTGACTCTTCAAAAATCGAATTACATGGGTTGATGAATTCATTACCAAGATGGGATGCTACAATTATACACTAACCCAACCATTTCCTTTGGACTATGTAAGGAAAGGGAAAGAATCCAGTTTACATATTGCGCTCTGCTTGGAAAATTCTATGGTCAATTGTACTATAATCTTTAATTGGGGTCCATTTCATTAATGCTTAATATTATTTGATTAATAATTAATATGCTTCTAAACATGAACAGGTGCATGAATTCTGCAGAAAACTTGAGGGCATCCAGCAGATTCAAATTAGTCTGTTGGCCAGATACACATTTGTTTATAGTGGATCTTTGCTACAATATAAACAGTTTTATTATTTATCTATTTCAGTTTATATAGCCATCTATCTCAGGTTCTTGACTCTGGGCAGCTAACAGTATTAAAATAAAATATAAAAGACTAAAAGCACAGAAAACCATCTGCCCACAACACATACAGAAACATGAACAGACGAGTACCTCATGAACAGACGAGTACCTAACATGAAGAATGACACCAAACCCACACCCACGAGGGCCACACAAGATGCTACCACCACACTTCCACGTAGAAAGCAGACTCACACCCACACAGAAGATGAGACACGACAACAGACCAGAAGCCGCACCGCAGCTGCATCACTACCCGCTTCAAACCCCTCTGACTCATACATGAAGCGAACTGACGCCCACCATGAAGATGCGGCACGACCACGAACGCGAAGCCAAACAGCAGGATCACAGCTCACCAGCTCAAATCCCCCAGCAACTAAGACTAACCTGAGCACAACCAAGCCCCCACCTGAACAGAACACACCCCCAGCCAATCAGAGCACAGCCAACCCCCCAGCCAATCAGAGCACAGCCAGGCCCCCAACCAATGAGAACACCCCCCCACCCAATCAGAACACAGCCAAGCCCCCACCCAATCAAGTCACACCCCCACTAGCAGTTAAAAGGAAGAAGCAGCTGCAAGCTCACATTACTCTGAGAAGCACAGAGCCGAAGACACAAGCCTGAAGATGATGAATGAGACTTCATCGAAACGTTGCCTAGATACTTCCAATTTTACGCGGGAGAAAACCCGAATAACCAAAGATAGATAGATAGATAGATAGATAGATAGATAGATAGATAGATAGA